ACACTCCAGACCAGTCTAGATGGGTTATACGGACATTTATTAAAAACTGGACTAGTCATAACGAGCGAGAGGGACGTTCCAGACTAGTCCTGAAGGGATATACTAACATTTCGGACTAGTCGTGACGATCGTCTTCAGTAATTTTTTGCTTACCTGGATAGTACAATACAGTTCCTCTGTTTAATTTGCGCAGCTTTCCGAAAAGCTAGTGTCTGGTTGTTGTGTGTGTATATTGATCTCAAGTAATTGAGCGAAAGAACGCTGTGTCAGGCTAGCTTTCTGCCCAGAGCGGTGGCTGATGACTAGTAAGGAGATAGGTGACCATGTCGGAAACTTTTTAACAAGAAGCTATTGCCACTTCTAGTGGAAAGTGTCAATAAGAAGCTATTGCCACTTACCGACGTGGCACCAAGCAGCTATTCCCACTTCTAACAGAAAGTGTCAATAAGTACTCTAACAGACTCAAAAGGTTTTGCATCGGTCACTAGCCTGTAAAAACTAGAACAGCTTTTATATACCAAATCATCTGGTTTCGATGAATCAACTTCTGGAGTTTCAGGCTGCATATTTTCTTGAAGATAATTCACGTATTTATCTAATAAATTCATGTCCTCTGGTAAACGTTCTTCATTCAATGCACAACACCGAACTAATAGTCCTTCATCCGTAATGATATCTTCGATATTAAGGTGTTTCTTTAATAAATTAATTATATTTAATTCTTCTAGATAATTAGTATAATGCACTGGTAAATTAACAAGAACCGGCCTAGCACTTTCATTGGAACAAGACCAAAAGGACAAAGGTAATAATGGTCGAGCTGCTGATGACAAGGAGGATTTTAAAGACGATGGCGATTCATTTTCAGATATAACGAGAGGTGTGAAATGGTTATGACAATATGATAGAACGATTGGATGATGGTGAGTGTTTGTTGTTAGCAGCGGAAGATATATACCAACTAAATCATTCAATTGCGCTTGTTGTTCGTTAACTGTGTTTATATATTCCAGTCCAAGAATAATAACCGGACGTTTGAGCATATTTGCTAGTCCGAAAATGTGACATGATTGTAAAAAACACACGATTGATCAGCAACGGCTTGAATTTCCTCAATACTTTTGTTCCGCTCCTAAAATACACAGGGTCCTTCATATCATACTGGTAAAAAGCATGGTCTTTGTTTACAGCACAGAAAACATGAACGGTAGCACTAGAAACATGTGATTTTTAACAGTATTCCAGTTAAGAAGTTAACTGCTGAGCAGATAAAAGCAGCTGCCAAAAAGTGGAAAAAAATTTCTTATTCCTCTTAATGTGTCTTACTTGTTCAAGAATGTGTTCCTCTGTTTCAAGGTGTAAGTTGAGCTTTTGGTCGCTTGCTATTCTATTATATTTGCAACGGTCATGAAGTGCTGCTTCATTTGATTTCATGTAACATGAAAGATGATTACGAAGTGTAAATTTTATGTCTTGTATGCCAATCATTGCCATTACAGAGGCATTTAATAAACAATTTCCTTTCCCTCAAAACAGAAATGTTAATGGCATTAGAATCTGCGAGTGGCTAACAAACGACAGAATTCCGTTTAGGGAGCCAGTACTCACCTGTTGTCTTCAGTGAATACAACGGTTTAACTTTATTACACCAATTTATAACTTTAGCACTCACTAAACTATCTTGAAATTCAAATAAATGATGTTTTAGCTCTTCCACATTCTTTTCTTGTAGGCGTAATGTTGTTGTGTACGTGGCTATCAGAGACGTATTAGAATCAAATGACACATATCTCTCCAAATGACTGGCAATCTCATCATCTTTTCCATACAACTGTTGATACTGCAAATATGAATATGGCTCCATTGCTTGAGACATTTTGATATAAAAAAACTATGAACTGAAGCGAATATCAGTCTAGAATCAGTATAAATATAAAAGTATCGAAGCTGTTTTCAAATTCACTTTAACTTTGTTATTTCAATCTTTTTCAGTCCGTTATATTTTCTCCGTTTATACATATAACATATTTTAAGTAGTCACTCTCTAAATTTTCACAATACTATTGTTTACGTTGTTTACTTTTCCACTGATCCTGACTAACGTCTATATAAACTTGTCTGTCTTCTCTATCATTCTAACCATTTATATTTCTTCTCTCCGTTCACGATTATATTTCTTGACGATGCAAGTTGTACATTTTCTAAAAGCAGACAATTACACGATTTCTATTCGACTAAAATTAAACTAAACTTCACAACAACTACTCTTATGCTGAAAATAATCTTGTTTATTTATATTGAAATTAAAATCCATCACCAGACTGAATAAGCGAAGAATCATACTGGAAAAGAACGAGCAGATGATAAATTAGTTATCAGTGGCTTAGCCCATACCCTTCTGTTGACACTTTCTACTCGAAGTGGAAACAGCCACTTGTTGACACTTTCTGTTGCAAGTGGATATAGTTCACAGCTGACCTTATCCTTAAGACGTTTGTCGACACTCTTTACTAGAATGCGTTCAACTGCTGGTATCCTGACAATTCAAACCGCTGGTAATACAGAGGCAATAGTTCCTCTGTGGAGGAAGATTTACTAAACACTGTATGCTCAAACTTTTTAAATATCAATGAAATTTATTGTATTACTCTTTATTATTAATGTTAAGCGTATTGACTTTTTACAAGATCAGCTACTTTTTCACACATACTATAAAGTGTATATG